CCTGAAAAAGAAGTTACTCAAATTTTATAATGCTGTCCTCATCTTTGAAAAAAACCCCATCATCTTCATTCTGAAGAATGTTGAATCTCTTCTTCAAATCTTCCCACATACACTTATTTCCCAGAAAATTTAATTGACTTTAAAACAGTTTATTCAGTGATGATGCTGTTCACATTGTCACAACAATCATCTCAAATGCAAAAGCACTTCTGAGTTAGGCAATTAGTTTGACGACTCCATGAACTCTAGATTTTTTTTTAACCTATTTGAAGACTGACCAAAATAACAAATAACCTTTTAATGCCTGTAATATCAGGGAATAACCTAGTTGTCCTCTTTCTCAGGATTGCTGGTGGAGAATAGATACTGTGCATCACACTGCAGCAATGTGCATGCTGAGACATAAACCGCTGATAGAGCCGTATTCACGCAGCAATTTTGCAAAAGGACTTTCTGACACAGCGTGCTTACAAACCGGTGCATAACTAGTGATAAAGACAGACCTTTTCTCATTTTAAGGATTCCAATGTCTGGTGTAAAGCCTGTCTCCTAGAAGACGATGTCCTTCAGCTGAATGGTTTGCTCTGCAAGTGTATTTTTTTCTAGTGGAATTTGTTCGCTACCAACTCTTGTAAACAATCACGCATTCTTGCACTACAGATCACCGACATTCCCAGCAAAGAGCACGGTCACATCAAACACCTACACCGAGAATTGTCTTGGAAAAAACATCCCTAATAGCACAGTCCCATACGGTGTGGGAGGCATTTTAGTCCAACCAATACAGGAGGGTCTTGACTTCACTTTGACTATTCCAAAATGCTCAAATGCCATCATTCACTAACTGTAACAGCCAGAGCACCAGTCCAGGGTTAAAGACCGTAACCTACCTCGTGTGATGTTCAGGGATTGCTGGACACCTGTTACGTTGGATAAAAATCTCTTCCACACGTAGCGGACTGTGGAAGATGCTTCCGTGTGTTGAGTGCTGTTACTGTACAGCATCCATAGGGGCTGAGAGGGAGAAATGTTGACCTTCCTTTTCTAAAAGGTTTCTTGTCAGGACAGGAGAGCGTGTTTGCTCTCCCCAGATGCTGGCAGAAAGAATAGTAAATGATAAAATGCAAGCTGGCTTTTTTGTTTTGTTTGTGTTCGGTGTTGTGTTTTTTTTTTTAAAAGATGGAGCCAAAATAGACATGTTTGCCCCAGAAACAGAATTATCTAGGAGCTGAACCACAACTTGCATCATATTTACAGCAGACAAATTGAAGAGCTTCACCTATTTTCAGTAAAACAGTAGCATCTAAAGCACTAACTAAACCTTGAATTTTTTTCTAATCTAGAAGTTCTGTACAACAATTATATTTTCAAATCAGCTTTCTGGATTCGATACGTGGTTAGGAATTGTGTATTTATTTCTCAATAAATATCTTGTACATTCTCATTTTTATAGGACTATTATTTATTAATAAACATGATAATGTGCAATAGCCAGCACAGCACAATTGCTTGGTTTTTTAATTGTCCAAATTATTTTAATATTTCTTTTGTAAAAATTAAAAAATATATAATCTTAACTGTATAGAGAAAGAAAACCTCTGGTATTCTTCCATCTCTTACCTGTACTCTCAACTGGGCATCAAGGTTCTTTTTTTTGGTTTGATTTTGCACATATTCTACAGCGTCTAAATCTCCTGTTGCATGCTTGTTTGCTCGACTATTACATCAGTATATTTGATCAGCGATTAGGATCTTTAGTCTTAATTTTACCAGGCTAATGGATAAGCTCTAGCACAATATTCACAATCACGTTTGACACCTAGTGTTGGTAAAGGAAAGAAGTGAAAAAACACCAAAAAAAAAAAAAAAGAGCCAAAGATTACGAGTCTCCTAACTCTCCTTGCACTTCATGCTAAGCCATCACGTGTATACATCGTGGCGTGAAGCTGCGTATGACTCTAAATACTGAACTGAAGTTTCTGATTGAAATCACATTTGCCTGGGCTTTTGGGTTTTTTTCCCCCCCTAAAAATAAATATTAGTTAATAATAATATTAGGTTAAATAATAATCCTAAGTGACTGCATACTGTAATGAACACATTACATCATATATAAACAGGACTAGACCAAAATCTGCATTATAAGAGGTAGTTAAAATCACTACTGCTGACGTGAGTAATGCTATTAAAGCCTTAGCGATAGGTCAGGGCCTGCTCCAACCGGCAGCTCTATTCATTCGCCGAAAAAGCGCCTTTTCATAAAAACCGGTAAGTGTGAAAGTGCTTTAATAAACTGTGAGAAGAGATGAGAAATACCTTAACACGCTTGCAGAGGGAATGAGCGACACAGAACGCTGGCGCGTGCGTTGCAATGAGAGCAGTCACCGGTGCTGCTGTTCACTAAACAAAGCCACGTTACTCTTAAGCATTTTACTAATTAAAAATAAAGGCTTATTAAGAAGCTCTGCATGTCCCAGGGACATGAAAGAAGACTGTTTGCTGAATTTGTGAGCAGTGAAATAACCCTGCCAGTCCCTGAGAGATGGGGGAAAGCGCAGCTGCTGCTTTGATTTCCCTGGGGTAGCGATGAGCATTAAAGCAGGTGAGAGATGCACGGCCCGAGGATAATTTTGCCCTGAATTGTTACAATTTAGAGAGATGCTGTTGGGTCAGATATGGCAAAATCCAAACCCCCTCCTTCTGAACAGAAAAAAAAATAAAATAAAAAAATAAAAAAATTCATTTCTTCTCCCTTTCTCTCACTGAGAACTGCTTCCAGCCTCTCCAGCCACCCTCATGGCCGGTCTGGCCCCGAACACGACCGTATCCTGTGCGCCCATGAAATGTGAACCGAAGCACAACAGATTTCTCCTGAAATAAAGAATAAAACTAAACACTACAGAAAGGTAACTTTAAATAGCGTGACGTGAAATATGAGTTACAGAGATAATCAAACAAAAGGTTTAAAATTGGATTTACCTTAGAGTTTCCCTTAAATAACACTATTTTTTTACAATAAAGATAACAGTATTACATGGCATGTAAATCTGAGGTGAGAAAGTTTATCCATTCAAGTAATCTAGAAAGTGTAGAGTACATTTGCTAATTAACTGTAATAAAATGCTTTTTTTTGAAGGACTGCTGGCAATAAAAGCAGAGGTGCTAAAGGAATTTCCATATAAAAACACATTTATTAACAACAGACTTATTAATATGCCAATTCTTTATTGCATTTAGTATCATCTCATCATATGTTTACAGGACCAAGATATTTATATTTTGAAGTGTACTTCCCCTTAGTAGCCGCATCTGTGTGTATGTGCGTGTATATGCGTTTGTCCCGGCCAGGGATAACCTTCTCAACCTTCTCCTCCCAATTCCCTTCTCTCCAAACAGGAATTGCATCTTCAACCTCTTTGTTTTCACATACCTAGTTATCATAACAATACTAACAAGCCTTTGAAAAACGTCTTCCGTCCTCTCTTGCTATAAAGCGTTTCAAAGCTGGCCAGGCTTCGAAACACATCCTAAATATGGGACATTTTTGATGCTCTGGTAAAGATTTTTGCTGCAGGACTGATGGAGAATGACCACTAGAAACTGGACCCTTTAGAATACTGACAGCTGTATTTTAAAATTAATTTGCCTCCTCCCCTCCAAATATACTGCTCACAGCGTGGTTTGAGCAACTGTGGGATTAAGAGAAATATTAGAAATGAAGTACTGCAATTCCACCTTCAGATTTTATAAGTACCCTCCCTTGACTTTTTTTCTATTCAGTTACCCTCAAGTTAGTATCAGTAGAGTATCAGTGATGATGCACAACCCCCGTCCCAGCTTAATTAAATCATACATTCAATTCATCAGGTATTCCAGTGTTCCAAATGCACTACAAGCTATCTATTCTTTAGTAGATAAAGAGGAATTACTGTCTCACGGGACAAACCAAACACCAGTTGATTGAATTACAAAATAAGTTTTTATAACTATCCTGAATATTAAATATACCCCAACACAGATATCTTCCTAAAATAAAACTTTTCTTTCCTCTTCCTTTACAAAAAATAACTTATTTTCTCAAGGCTAGATCTCTCCTGCAATTTCATCTTCAAAAGACTCAAGCAAAATAGATCATGAAGGAGCTCTAGCAAAGCGTTAGTAAGTGTCTCCTGACCAAAAAGGCACCTCTACATACTGAGGCCATCCCAGGGATTCTGGGCAACAGTGCAGCGGGACAGCATCATCGGTTACGCAAAGCAGACGTGGCAGTTTAAGACCGTTTTGACCCTTTCCCCTTTACTTTTCACAGGCAGAACTGAAAGAATCTATTTTTGTTTTGTTTTCTTTCTTAAAAGCCACTTTCTCTAGATCTGACAACACTGAGCACCGTGCCTGATCAGATAATGCATGTTTACACGCAACGGGTCAGTATTTCCAAACTGCTCCATTGTTCCCAGCATCCAGTGGTGAAGCCCCGATGCCCATCAGGACAAGAAAGCAACAGCAGAGGAAGGAAGGGTTTCCTGCCTGACAAGAGCAGTCCTGTTTAAATCAGAGATGGAGTTCACTACCCATTCAAACATACATACACAAAACACTGAAACAGATTGCCTGGCTCTGCCTTGCACAATAGTGTCAAACCCCAGTGAACTGTGTTTAATAAAACAGGGTGAGATGATCCCGTAGTGCTGGCAACACGGCAGGCAGAGGAATGATCACAAACTGTCCATTATTTATTTGTCCCTCCAGAAAAACATTCGCTCCGTTGCCATGCTGCAATTTACCTCCGTCCCGCTGCAATTCTTTAAACCCGCTAAGTCGGTTGAGAGATTTTGGGTGAAATTCTACAGCTTGGCTGTTGTGCCGATTTGGGTCGCTTTGCTGATTAGAGAACAGTATGTATTTTATTAATAACTGTGTTTAACCTCAGCTTTAGGATTTATATGTCCAGCAGAAGCGTGTTTCTTCTTTGAATTCATGCTCCGTGACATCAGTGATGCTTAGGCACTTGATAAAATGGTAGATGTGAAGATCTGCTGCAAAATCTGGGGGATCTCTTTGGTATCCATGGCAATAAAAGACCGACCTGCTGGTAGTGTCCTCTGCAGCCTAAGGAGCAGAAAGAGGGACAAGACACAATTACCATTTCAAGTTATCTTCCCTACCACAAGCCAGGGTTCCTTAAGAATGGATGTTTTTCTTTTCGAATACCTTACCAACCCATGCCATTCACGTCGCCATGCAATTAAAGGCTTGGGAAAGCAGCAGTGGGAGGAAACACTGAGAGCAGCTAAGTCACAGAGGTCCTTTCAGCAAGACAATCAAGAGATTTCTATTCACATCCTCTTTCTGATGTGCAAAAACTCCATTTTGATCAAGGTACCAGTGACCTCACGAGGCATTACCACAACTGGTTTTCTGAGGGCAGCTACAGATTTACTCTGGAAATGAAGATATTTACTTACTCTAAAGAGATAACCACAAACCCACACCTCTTTCAGTTCAACACCTCCAGTGATTCTAAATGTGCTCTTTGTATTTCCCCTTTGAGATGGCAGCAGATTAGATGGAAAGATATTTTTCTGCCAATATTAGCTTGACACATTTTTATTCACAGCTTAATCCCCCTTAATAAAGGTAAACAAGACGCATGTTACAAACCCCATCTCCCTCATATCCAGTCAGCAGGCTTGGAATTTATTATTATTTCACTGCTTTTCAAAGGAGTTTATGCTCCACACCATTTCTCCAATGCTAAGGTAAGTCTCACTTTTAAAGTGAGTTGTTAAAAAAGCAGCAACAGAGAATTCCCTTCTCCTTCCCCCACAGCAGTTACAGGAAGCCTTTGTCTAATTCTGCACTTCCACGTACATAGAAATGCATTTCAGCGACAGCATTGTGTGCATTTTCCATACCCAGTGAACTAGGCAATTATAAGATCTCCTCTTACACAGCAGGATATGGTCAATGTTGGGGTTTTTTTTGCTTTTTTTTTATTCCTAGCAGAAGTAAAAGGACCTTCTGTAATTATAATCTTTCAGAATGGATTCTTTTTTCATGCATAATGCAGCTCTGATGTAGAGACCTGCAGACATGACTAACGCTGGCTGTGCAGCTGTATCTTTCAACCCTTTTCTGATTAAAACTACGTAACGAGGGCCAATTCCCTTCAGGCCTTCTCTCCTTCTGCTCTAGTTGAAGACTCAAACAGAAGCAGAAAAGGCACTGTTGATATTTGTGGCTATACCAGCTTTTTGCTGCACGTGCTGGTCCTCAGTGGATACAGAACCTCACCAGGCACAGAATTTCTTTATTTCTACCTGTCCCCAAACAATTTAAAGTAAAATTATGCGGTAGCACTAAAAATAGGCAAAGAATTCCAAAGAATTTAGGTCTTTAACGCAAGGAGAGCATCTGAGTCAAGTTTTTTGCCATTTTAAAGACCATTAAACTCCAGCTTCTCTTGCTTTAATCTCTTTTCTTAGGCCCACACGCATTCAAACCCCACACTGAGGCAATGGCAAAGGCACCATGACTCCGTCATGATTACGTAGTGATATTACATACAGGGATAGCGCATATCCTTCAGTGGGAGGATGGCTTCAGGTGCTCCCTCTGGATGCTCAGAATGCTCTGAACCAGCTGGCCATAACTGCAAGGACCCACGAACCAGTCTCCTTCCTGACAGAAGTCAAAGCTACTGCTTCTTGATAGTACATCAAAAAATCAGAATGATAGATGAAAACTTGGACAGCAGCTGACAGTGTCCACTTGCAGCCCAGAAAGTCAACCATATCCTGAGCTGCATCAAAAGCAGTGTGACCAGCAGGTCGAGGGAGGTGATTCTGCCCCTCTACTCTGCTCTCATGAGACCCCACCTGCAGTACTGCATCCAGCTCTGGGGGCCCCAGTACAAGAAGGACATGGAGCTGTTGGAGTGAGTCCAGAGGAGGGCCACGAAGCTGATCAGAGGGCTGGAGCACCTCTCCTGTGAGGACAGGCTGAGAGAGTTGGGGTTGTTCAGCCTGGAGAAGAGAAGGCTCCAAGCAGATCTTATAGCAGCCTTTCCATATATAAAGGGGGCTTACAAGGACAGAGAGAGACTTTTTGCCAGGGCCTGTAGTGACAGAACAAGGGGTAATGGCTTTAAACTGAAAGAGGGTAGGTTTAGATTGGACATAAGGAAGAAATTTTTATGATGAAGGTGGCAAGACACTGGCACAGGTTGCCCAGAGAAGCTGTGGCTGACCCCTCCCTGGAAGTGTTCAAGGCCAGGTTGGATGGGGCTTTGGGCAACGTGGTCTAGTGGAGGGTGTCCCTGCCCATGGCAGGGGGGTTAGAACTAGATGATCTTTGATGTCCCTTCCAACCCAAACCATTCTGTGATTTTATAATTCTATGATCAAAACCTTAGTGCAGAACACCAGCATGGGCAACTATGCCTGACTTCACTGTATTAAAAACATAGTTAAGATTTATGATGAATGGAAATGAAGTTCTATTAGGGATAAAACAAATATACTTACCTATCTGCCTGGTCTCCTAAGGATCCTATAAATATGGCAAAAGCATTGACTTGAGCATTGGTGGTCAAGACCTGGGCAAACCTTGATGGCTGAATACCGTATCGCTCGAGATTTGCGTCACTCAAGACGATTACAAAATACTCGTCAGCCTCTTCCTTGGCGATTTCACGAATGGCATGCTCTGTCCCTTCCAAGGTATGGTCTCCGCTCATGCAGAACTGAGCATGGGCATGCATGATCTGTGTGCACAGCACAACCAAGTGGAAATATGTAAGATGACTTTATGAATAAACATTCATTTCAGCTGGCACAGGGGGGAGCGAATATTCAGTTATGCTATATTAGGAGATGCTTCAGAAATGTGGACAGTGGTCCAGATACTACAGAAGATGCGGCTTTTTGTACATAACATGTTGCATTTTAAGACAGGCATCACTTCTTAAAAACACAGCAGGTCAAACAAACAAAATCCATGCATGGACAGAATTAGACTGCACCTTAAGGAAGGTAAAATAGTTTGATCAGCTGCAGTTTGAGCAGCTACATTCCTATCTATTTAAGGAAGAAAACAGGGCTTAGTTTCCTAATACTGTGGCCGGCTCCTGCCTGTTTATAATTTGCACTTCCAAACCCTAATAGTGCTGCAGTTGTTATCAAATATTTGACTCCTGACATTGGCAGCAAGGTTTAAAAATGCTGAAATGGTTTGTTTGAGCTTTTATGAAATAAATACACTGTTTGCATTGATGAAGCTGTTTCCTATGCAGAAGGTAAGGAATTTTAGGCATGAGAAAATCCAGTCCTTCTAACCCACGTAACTGTTAGATCTTTTAAAAATAATTTTTGAAGGAAGCTCAAATGCACAGTTCTAACCTATAAAGCTGCCAGCCAGGTAAATCCTGCAATATACTCAATTTTTCTGCATCCTATTGCAGTAAAGTCTTGATGAATACACTCACTTTGCAATTGTGGTTTAATACATTTGAGTTTAGCATTGATGCATTTTCCCACTGCTACTGTGACACATCACTTTTTGAAGGTACCAGGCTAAATCAACGACCTGGTATCCCTCTACAGTTTCAATTAGTCACTTATGCACTAATAATATCACCACATTATTTAGGCAGAGCTATCTGTATCACTGCATAATGTTTGGAACTTTCCATATCCTTTGACAGGCAGTCAAAATGACACATTTGTGACACAGCAGTCCAGAAAAAGGCATATCTAGCTTCTCCTGTTTTGGCACAATTTGTTTTCTGCCAAGCCTCTGAAAGGTCCTGTTTCAGCTTTATGCAAATACACAGATTTCGCTTTCTTGTCTTTCTTAGATTTCGCTCTTCTTATGTTTTGCGTTCTGTGACCTACCTACAATTTTACCTTTGCAGTCATAAAATCCTTAATTATCCATCATCACTTATCAGTAGGATTTACCTTAAGAATCTCTAATCTTTGCTTATTGTTCTTGGGAACTTTGTCACTCCCAACCAAGGTGATGTCGAAGCCATCTCCTGAATGTCCAACAATATCATACTGCAAGAAAGAAACTTTATCAGTCATCAGTTAGTCACAAATGGCCCTTGGGTCACAATGACATGAGACAGATCAAAGGCAATTTGCTTTCAACAAGAAAACCCAAATACTATTCCCTGCTTCTGCTTATGAGCTGCTTAAGGGAACTGCAATTTCTCACCGACATGAAAACACGGGAAAGAATTGCTAAATAATGAAATTAAAGAACAGTTACTTATTTCCATGGTCTGTTTTTCACATCATCCCACCAACTGCAGAGCGGTGATGCATAAGATAAAGACCTTGCCCTCTCACATTGTCCGCTTATTTTCTTAAAGTAGCAATTTTCATCCTCTTGAGTCTGACAAACAAGAAGTGCATTGTTTGACAGTAGCTCCCATTTTTGTGACCTCATTCTGCTCCGAAAAAAGAAGTATTACAAGCCTTCTTTTTTGAAAAGCCGTACTCTTTATTTGTGTGCATAACAGATCAAAGTCATTGCTGAAAATATGTAGAGAAGTGAATTCTAAAAGTCTCTCTACGTTTTCAAATGAGATGGTGTGCACATCACTCTCCTGTGAAAGATGCTGCAAAATCATGACATGTAGAGCTGTAATAGTTCAAACATCTTGTTGAACAAATAATGTGATATTAGGAAGGCCTTTGTTTTATGTGAGATTTTTATTGTTGATACATGAAAACCAAGACAAGCTGAGTTACGGCAAGGTCCTGACCTGCCCTTTGTGTTGTGGATGCGGCAGTCACCCCAGGGAGAATTCATGAGCAGGACAAAAGTGGATTTAAGAGCTGTCTACACCAAATAATAGAGCACAGTGCACAGATCCTGAGCCCAGAGAGACCTGAGCTGGTAATTCCTCAACATGAACATGCCTGTATTTTCCCCTCATTAGCTGGCACAGACCTGTCCTTAGTTGACAGGGAGCCCTTGTGCAATGCTTTGCCTCTCTGTTATCTTTAATTCAAGTACTGCCTACAGGTCACTGCTGGGTTCACCATCCCTAATTCCCACGTAATCATTTGGTAAAAGACTGGTCTCATCCTCAAAGACCTTCTGAATTTTCTTTCCTATTGAAGACTACTTTATTTGGTGTAAGTCAGGTTCTGGAGACTGGGGAAATTGCATTCTTTATCGATAAAGCTCTTTTAAATTGTTTCCATACTACTAATTTGCTTAAAAATATATCAAGAGTAAAAGAAAGCTATAGCAGCTGGAACATTTTTAAAGGTGGCACCTCCCTCTGCAAAACAGCAAATGTGCCACATTATTTCACCCAGGGTCAGACGATCTTATAACAGCCTCACATAACCCAGACTTCCTTCCCCTAGGAAATCTTTATATAACCTAGTCCCCACACACTCCCATTTCATTCTGCTCCATTGTTTTTTCCCATTCCTGTTCTTCCCAGCTCTTCCATTTCTTGTGTTTGCTACCCCGCCTCATGTAAAGCTTCCAGTTTGACACATGCTTTCTCTTCAAATCCTATTTCTTATCACCAATAATGCTTCAGACTCTCTCTTTCCTGATGACTAACTAGCTGGTGTTTCTGTCTTCCCCAAACCGTTATCTTTCCTGCAGAAAAGACACGGCTAATGAAAACACACAAATTTGGAGAATAATGTTGAAGTTGTATTCAACATACTTCTGAATTAATACAGGAATAAACCCAGAACGTGAACCACACACAAAGACAGCGTGCATGTGTATTGTTTTAAAAACTAAAGATTATTCAAATCAGAGGAACTAAATAAAGCAGTGGTTTAATGGCACGGAAAATATACAGCGCTACTGTGGTTCTTACATAATGTCAGAAATGTCCACAGATCTTCAGGGTAGGCTCTTAATTACGAAACCCTGTGTGTCCTTTGCGGAGCAGTTTTGTATTCGGTATCACTTTTAAATCAACAACCTAATTATGTAAAGCAAAATGCTGTCATTCTCCTGTAGAAAAAGCAGCTTGATTCCTTCATAATGAGCTCCTTCCCAGCATTTCACGGATCTCTCCCACCGGGTGTCCTGGTATGAGCTCCACCATACTGAGTTCATGGGAATAGGCCAGACTTTGCTATCTGGGAATATCATTTTGGTTCCTGGCACACACTAATAACGGACTAACCTTTCATCTCAAAAAGGCTGGGTGTAAACTCAGTGTGACAGTCTGTGTAAAGGGAACTGCTGTAACAGACATAGATGAAATACCAGATGTTGACCCTACAGTTGGGTCCCCTCCACATTCTTGCACAAGGTGGGAACGTACAACCCGAGTGCGGGCAAGGTGAGGCTGAAATGATCTGAGCAAACTATTGCAGGCATGTAAAGCCATTCACCTGGGAACATCACGTCCTGTCTGCTCCCTCCTTGGCTAGTCGTTTCTTATTCTCTGTGTGTGCCCATGCATGTGCTGGAGTACGTATATTTAAAAGATGTTATCTGTTTCCTTGTTTCTTTGCCAACAGTTTACTACGCTGTTTGTGATTAAAAAAGGTGTGGGGAGGTAGCAGGGAAGAAATGCCTCTTTGTTTTGTCCTGGCTGCTGCATTCTGGGTCAAGAGGGGCGTCCCCAAATGCAGGGTGAGATCTCGCCATGCCTGAGCACCTGCGCTGCGGAAGAGAAGTGCTGTGGTCACCAGCCCTCGCATGCTGGTCCTTATGGTCCTCTGATCCCCTGCGTGTCAAGTCAAGGACTGGGAGTGGCCAAAAGCTAATGACCATGAGGCTGCCTTTGGGCAGTTTAAGTCCCCAAACTTGAGGTCAGATGAGTACTTGTGCCCCAGCAAAGGTGGTGACAGGAACGTAGCAGCACTGACTTGGATTGACTTAAGTCAGGATAAGACTGCAGCCCCCTACCTGGGAGGGAGGAGTGGGAGCAGGCTCACAGCCAAGCTTTAGAGGTGACAGAGGTGATAGAAACTTTAGAGCTTTAGAGGTGATAGAAGGGAGATGTTTCTCCATGGGAATGCATGGAGTCTACTGCAACTTACCAAAGCAGAGTTTAGGACAGAGTAAAACTGGAGTGAAGAACCCCACTCTGCAAGGGCAAAGAAGGAGGATTTAAATCTCTCATGCAGGTTTTCTTTCAGTAAATTATTACCTCCTCCTGATTTGTGTTCTAGTAAAATGAACCCTTGGTGATGCGATGTAATCTTGTGCTCATTTTAAAGAAAAGGTGCAGACAGCTCCACAGCCCTGGCCAGCTGGGAACCCCAACACATGCAGGCACGTGCACGCTTTGTCAAAACCAGTTTCCTTCCTTCACACGAGTGCTGGAGCTAAAGACGAGCACAGAAAGCTGAGAAGCAGGGATCCGATGCATTTTTCTCATAAATTCCCTAAGAGAATTGTGGATGAAGTTAAAAGTGAGAGAAGAGCTGTGATACGATCTTACTCGGAACTGACTTTTGTTTTGTTTTACAAAATAGATTGCAAGCACAGGCTCTCAGGACAAATCCAGCAGCAAAATACTTGTTTGCTACAGTGCAGGCTTAATTGAATTGATTTATTATTATGGTAGACAGCGGCTCATTTTCCAAAGGCCTCAGGTACGCTGAGACAAGGACTGCTTTATTCAGAGTTGTGAGTATACAATATGTAAACACGTCTCTCGAAATAGCATCATTTTGTTGGTTTCTTTCCTTACAGGTTAAAGCAATCCCTATTCCACCGTCACATTTTGCACTGAATGGACAGTTGCTGCTGCCTAAAATGGGTAAAATGGAAGACTTTGTCTTCTGCAGCTGCCATGCCAAAAGGTTTGATTTCTGAAGGCATTTAAAAAGCTGAAAGAAGACGCATGCTGAATGTAAAAGGCAGTGTGAATCTAGCCGGAGGTCTAGATCTTTATAAATTCATCTCGTCTATGGACAACACTGAACATTTCTTTTTTTCTGAATTTATTTCAAACCTTTTGTTTATTATTTAAAAGAAACTATTCTGCCAAGCATGTGGAACATTTCTTTTTTTTCCTGAATTAACAGTGCTGCCTCCACAGTAAATTTTACAAATGGGGAATGCTGAAATGGGCATATAAAATCTGCAATATCCCTTTAACGTAGCTATAAATAACAATTCGGGTTTTTCCTACCAGTTACATAACATGCCATTTATTGAGCCACTTACAATATTTTAAAGGCTTCATAAAGTTGCTGTTGCATAATTTACTGGACATGCCTCCTAAATCTGCCACCATGTGTGCAAATTATGGTAATTAGGCATGATATAAAACTATATGGTTTGTGTGACAGACTTAATACTACTTCAGATAAACAAAGGACAAACTGCCCTTCTATACATTTTCAAATAACTGGCACCTAAAATGAGATGTGCAAAAGATGTAAGAACTTTAATCCTCCAAAATAAGTTGCTGCTTATAACTTACACATATAAGTGATGCATCCACATATTTAAAGGGGTCAAGGGGCATCTGTAGGAACATATTTAACTTCTATTATTTGGATGAGACTGAGAATGTGGCTTCTATTATCTCAGTCGCTCCCACTCTTCTCTTTAATAAAGCCCTTCAGAGGAACCGTGGATGAGATGACATTGGAGGAGGGCTTTGAAGCATGGCTGTTAATTTAAATGGATTTCCTGACTGTGGGATGAGCCTCCTGTTTCCCCCTTGAAAAGGAATGATTCACTGCCTGCACTTATGGGAAATGGAAAGCAGGCAGGTTGTCCTACGCAAGCATAAAAAGGTGACAAATACCTGCTGGCACTTGTCTGACTTTTTATGAAGGATAACTTCGTTACCTGCTTGGTACAGTCACCTACCCAATACTTAGCTGTTCTCTGTAAGAAGGCAGGGAGAAAGTATCCTCTGTTTTCACTCACTGCTGTAAAAGACCAGTCAGACAATCAGCATCATCAGTGATACCAAGGGGTACCACACATGGGGAAAGCTCAGCCGGTAGGATAAAACAACCAAGGAAAAGCCCATTTGATTCATTCACAACCATATTTAGCAGAGAACTATACCAAGCACTAGCAGAAAAGTGATTCTGAACCAAGAATTGGTTTCCAAAGTTTGCACTGCACTTACTATGTAAATCCCCTTTGAACACTTTGCACAACAAGCCTGATGGTCCCCCAGTTTCAACACATGTTGTGCAAGGAACCCCTCAAATTTGCAGCACGTGTTGTTGTGACCCTTGCAGATGGGGCTACAACAAGAACAGATAACAGCAGGCATATCTAAAGGCCAAAAAAGT